TGAACGTCGCTCATTGAAAGTGTTCATGCACAATACTATATATTATATATTATATAATATTATATTTTAGTTCTGTTTATAAAGTAAAAGTTCAAAATAAAGTTTTAATAAAAATCGATATTTTGCAATATGTCTAATTCAAGAATAATAAGTATTTAAAGTCCTTAAAGAAATGTATAACTTTGTTTTAGATTCACTATGCTAAAGGTTTGAATTATAATTTTATTGAAATCAAAAACATTTCAACAAGAGAAAATTTTTTAAATATTAAATCTAAAACATGTTGTCTATAGTTTTTCTTGTTGTAATTTAATGTTCCATCTATGGTGGCTTTGATAGTAGGCTGGTAAACTTGCTTTACTCCAAACATGTAGCAGATCAGAAATCTAAAGATGTAATTTGGGAATGTCCAGCCAATCAGTTTTATAGAAGCACGGTGATTAGCAGTGTCAAAGTCAGACAGCCCTCTTAATTTATCGATTGGACGAGTCTCATTGTTCCCTTCTACTCCATCAGTCCCAAAACGTCCAATTTACACCCTGAATGGCAGTGAAACCCTGAAGTATTGAGCTGAGAGTAATACTGCTGTGACCTCTGCAGGGCTTTTCTCTGCCATTTTCTCATTTCATGCAGAGCTTTCAAGGCGACACGTCAAAATATTGACAGGAAAACAGAAGGACTTTACACATTGCGTGATAACGGTCTTGTGGCTGCCTGGAGGACATGAGTAAAACAAATCTCGAATATTTGTCATTAATACATCAGAAGAACATGAAAATCATAGGAAACAAACAATAAAGTAAGCAGTAGCTAGTTTTGTTGATGAAAAAGGAAATGATGGAAGTGGAACAAAATGTGACAACAAAACGCAGCAGTGTGACAGTTTCTGAAAACCTCATTACTTCAGCAAATTAACTATAATGATTCACATGATTCACCTTAGGAAACATGCTCCCCTTTTTCATTTCAAAATCTTTGAACATTTCCAAGCATGTTTTATCACAATAATTATCCAAGTGATTTCAGTTTATTTATGTAACACTAAACATTATTTAAGTAGTAATTTGATCTATTTAGCATTAATCTAAGTGCATAATCTTAAATAAATTTATAGAACCAGTTCATTCAAATTATTCAGACAGATTGGACAAAATGTTTTCAAGAGGATTACATCTGATGCATTAACTATATATATAAAAAAAATCAATCCTGCTGGATGAAATTTGGAGGATAGTTGGTTGCTGTGTTGCATACTTTGTAAAAACCCATCATATCCAGCAAGCATGCAGTGACAGTGAAAAGGAAAACTCCCCTTTATGTATCCCCATGTTGTTGATGCTTTTTGTTATATATGAACTTCATGATTTTGTGACTGAAAATGGAAATAAAGGAAGAGGCCATACACAATTTGCATATTTTCAGCATTCCTTGAGAACAGGTGGGACACAGGTTTGTAAATGTGGCTTTACTTGTATGGTGGTTGTTTCTTTTTACTGCCACATGCTGGACTGGAGATGTAGTGCAGCTTCACAATATCCTCTCCTAGTCCATTACACAGATTTAAACAATATTTCTGCAGGCTTTTACAGCATCAGAAATAGAATGCGCACAAGTTACCCGGGTTTCCTTTTATCTGGGTAAAAAAAAAAAAAAAAAAAAAAAACCCAATTAAAACAATATTTCTGCAGGCTTTTACAGCATCAGAAATAGAATGCGCACAAGTTACCCGGGTTTCCTTTTATCTGGGTAAAAAAAAAAAAAAAAAAGAAGTACCCAATTACTTAAATCCTGGGACTTGGGGTGGAAAATTGGCTCTTGGGTGCTAGGTGACACAGTTGTTAGCACTGTTATGTTTCTAAAGGTTAAAGAGTAAGCTGTTTTCACAGAGATGTAAATCAGAAAGATGTAGTAAGTTCTGTACGATAAGGAGTGATGGGATGTAGTTTATTACTGAAGAAAATGCCATTGGATATTTAAAAAGCCTGTCCAACACTAAAGCATATAAGAAACAGCTGAGAAGAGAATAGTTGCTATAAACTTTGTATACTTTATGGAGACTTATATATGAACACTTGCTAAGATGGTTCAAATCTAAAATTAATACTCTGAGGAAAATACATTTTTACCAAAGGTGAAATAATACTATGGCTTTATAAGACAGTTTCATGATTATGCCCCAGAAAAAAAAAACAAAAAAACCCTGTATATTCACATAATGGATCCCAATCTGATTTCAGAATTGAATAAAACAATTATCCACATAAGTATGTTTCAGAAAGCTAGAAAGCTCTCCTTTGAAGCCAACTTGTTATGTTGGTTTATTTCCTCTGAATAAAAGAAATCAATAAAAACCTTCTGACAGTGGCCCTTTTTACATTTTCCAAAGGGTAATGTAAAAACTGGAAAGGATTCATAAAAGTAAGTGAGAATGACTAATGTGTACAGCAGTGACTTCAGGAGGCAGTGATGAGTGTTTTATGAGGACAGAGCTGAACAGAAACTGACTGAAGTGACAGCTGAAGACTGACATGAGGGCTAAGGAAGCTGGTCGCCTTTTGACAGCTAAGACACACTGAGAACTCCGTAGACGAAACATAACAGGCCTGATGCTCACAGGAGACTCTTACACATACTCCAAATGTCACTCAATGTATATTAGAGATCTCTGGAGGCAGTAAGAGGGGTCCGCAAAGGGGTGAGAGGAAAAAACATTCCTGATGTTTGACCTTTTAACTACGAAAAGCTATTTTTGACATTTTGAATTCTTCATTCACCATGATATTCAGTTCTGTTTCACTTTTCTAGTGGAAAAAGGCTTAAGACAATCAAAAGAACAAATCCTTATTTTTGAAAAGAAAAAGTGTAAAATACCCTTTCCAACTGGTTGAAAAGCATTTTTATTTGTATTTGAACCAACATATGCCAACTCTTCAAGCTCCATCTGATGAAGCAGAAATTCATATCTATCGATCTACGATCGATCGATCGATCGATCGATAGATAGATAGATACATAGACAGATAGATATAAATTCAATAAGTTTATTTATTTATGTATTTTTTCAGCTGCTAGACTGTTTAACACCTTTTTTTTAAAGTCCTGTCTTAAAAATCAAATTTCATTTAATTGTGGTGCCCCTAGTTTGAAACCCACGCTATCAAAAATATAAGCTGCAGGTGAAATATTGCAAAAATTCATATTTTCAAAATCCAAGCTATTTACACTTAAAATCTTGTAGTCAAGCAAAAAAAGATACTCGTATGTGGCAGGATGTGGCCTAAGAAAAAAAACATGTCACAACAGCAAAATATGCCTTAACTCCGCAATGACTCTGAAAACTTAAAGTCCAAAAGGTATTTTTCAAAAGGATCCAAAACTCTTCAAAACCAAGGTATTGTGCTATGATCACAAAACAATTCAATGTGATCATGCTGGGAAGAGTCAGAGAGGTTGAATGGCTTGGTGTAGGAGTTTAGTCATTGACTTAAGTCTGTGTCCACTGAAGTCAAACATTTAAACAACCATTAATTGTATAGCCTTTTATCAAGTCAGAGGACTTAGGGCTGCACCAAGGCGCTGACTTAGTGAAGCATGAAGCCAATGCTGTTGAGAATGCTAAGGACAGGGTTAATTACTATGAAGGCCAATTTCTGATTGAGTTGTATTAATACCCAAACACAAAGATGTGATAATGAAAGCCTGTACCTGCATCAACCTTGAACCAAGAGGAAAGATCACTGCCGTATCCACTGACCTACCACTTCGGGAAGCACTAACAGGGTTTGAGACATATATTTTGCAGAGATGATTATTTCACAAAAAATATGTATATACAGACCTTTTTTTTTATTTCAACTAATAGTTTATCTGAAGAAAGACATTGATTTTGGGGTGAGGTACACTTTAACTATGTCAAATGTTATTAATACACCTTTTTTTTTCTTTGAGTATTCAGAGGGTTATAAAGATGAAAGGGTGGCGATACATATGTTCCTAAGTTTTTAATTGGAATAAGAGAAAGAAAAAAGACAGATCCAAAATTGAATATTATTCAAAACTTACTTTGACTACAATATATCTTTCGCCTAAACCTAAATAAGAAAAATTAGATAAACTTGGTTTCATTTATAACTACTAACAATCAGACCAGCACTATCCCATACACAAATACGTCTATACTCTATAGTGTTTACAATTAAAATTCTAATTATTTTAAGTTTTGCTTCTTTAAAACAATTTTGCTGCATGTTTCGCTGCCCGAAACCAATTAGCTTGAAATAAAATCTCAGTCAAAGATCAAGTGTTTTGGAGATCTGCCTAACTGGATGTCCCCTCAGCGATTAAAGACAGCAGTGAAGATCATTAACACTTATGTGTGACATGATAGAAAATAAAATAAGAATATGGCTTTTAGCTTTAACACATTGTGTATATAGTGACAGTTTTATCATAATGCTAAGAAATGTTTTAATGTTTATTTAACTGCATAAACTAACTGAAGTTAAATGATCATCTGTTGGAACAATTCAGAAAACAGTGGCCTGCAGCAGCGTTTACAGTCAGTGCAATGATAATATTTGTGCATGCACAAAAGATCTTTGTTTATGCCAAAGGCATGCAGCTTTTGTTCTGACTGACTGTGTGTATCCCCTCTGTTTCTCACCCTCCACTTACTCGCTCTCTCTTGTCTCACTCAGTTTTTAATGAACTGCTGGAACGAAACCAAAGACTTGGACAATCAAAAAGAGTGTCTGTCAAATACAACAAAGTTCACAGCTTTTCTTTTTCTTAATACCATGTAACAATAACCATCTTTTTAAGGTGCTTAAGTAAAAGTGTCTTATGAAGGTTTTTATTAACCTGTATTCAATAAAGCATGAGGCATTAACTTTTTTGTGCTGCCTGCACATTTCAAATGTAAGCTGATTAAATAGTCGTTTTTTAGAGTACCGGTAGATCTGTTTTATCTCCTCTGTGTGTGTTTGTGCTTGATTACTCACTCGGCCGTGTCCTCCCAGCTACACCACTGACTCTGGTCCAGTTCCTGCATGTCTAGACTGAATTTGGCTAAGCAGAACTCCTTAATCAGGTCCTCGTACTGGGATCTGCAGCCTTGCGCCGAGACACACCGAGCCACTGCTAAGAGGACAGGGAGGGAGAAGAGTGAAAGGGTGAGGATCAAAAAAGAAAGAAATGAGAGAAAATGAAGAGACAGAACAAAAAGGAAAATGTGTGTTAAAGACAATTGTGGAGGTAATTATGTCCTAGTGCATAGTTAATGCAAAGGTAAAAAAGAAATATGGTTTAAGAAAATGCACAAGTTGTAATCACAGCAAGTAGTTGCCTGCCTGTAGACAAAACGACTTTCACTGTAATCATTGAACAGCGTCAACATCCACAGCAATCCCAGGAATCTAATGTTCTGATGATGCAGACCAGAAATGTAACGAGCTAAGCATAGATGATTTGCATTAATTGTACACAGAAATTACAAACTTTATTCTAGGTTCCTATGTACAAGGACACCATCAAAAATCATCTGGAAAAGTATACAAACACAGAATCCTCCTTTTTATTATATAAAGAATTATGTGCCTATGATTAAAAATTATGTGTGTGAAACAATGAACACATCCTTACTGCTTCAATATGACTGATAGGTAAAGCAGCGCCTATTTGATCAATTATTAAACCTCTTAACGGATGAGCAGGAGGTGTGAACATTTCCATTAAAGCTGGAGTTTTGGCTTTTCAGTCATCAATAAGTTGTTAGGCATTGACTTTTTGTTGCTTTGAGAGTTAAAATCCAACAACTCAACATTGCTCATAAAGAGAAAATGCTATTAATGCTTCTAAAGATGGATCCATAAGCTGTTGAGTTAACTGCAAAGTCATTTTTTTGAGAGTAAACTTGAGTATAGATTCAAACTGACAAATTTCAACAAAGATTATTTTTTAAACCTTACGCTGCACCTTACTCTACGACTATGTTCCGCACCTAGATAAGATATAGACTGGTAAAACAGTAAAAGAATAAAATGAGCAATCTCCTTCATTATTACAACATATCTGAAACCTTTTCACAGCCAGTGGATTAACTATAGCTTCATAAATACTTTATCCTCTACTACAAGCTGTCACTGAATAATTACATTTTGGGCCTTGATTGAATTAAAGCTAATCAGACTACAGACTAAAACATTAGACATAAGCTAAAATACTCCATAAGTAATAGCAATTAGATTTCCATGAAAATCTGAAGGACCAAATGTCTCATAATAGACAAATTCAATACTTTTAAACAAATTAACCCTTAACATCTTGTTTTGTTTGCTCTGCAATTAGAGGCACAAATGGAAATTTTACTGCAGGATAAAGCCCTGCCATATATCACTGATGTACAAAACAATTAAGCACTTATAGCCATATAGAAAGCGAAGGGGTTTCCTTACAGAATAATCAATCAATAGTACAAATTTTACAGAAATTTCTTTGTTATTCACTTCAGACCATTTTATTAAACTAACAGAAACCATTGCAATTTCTTTCATTTTCTTAGTGAAATTATTTTATCTGTTGTTTTTTTTTTTTATTATTTGTTTTTGGATAATTCTTTGCATCTAGATAATTTTATCCCCTTAACGTTTGGCGTCGGCTAAAACCTATTAGCTCCTTAAGCCTCTTGGGCCCAATGGAAGGCAATAACGTTTAATAGGCTATACAGTCTTCCATTGTTCTCTAAGCCCAGACAAATGTTTGTATTATACTTTACTAATTACCAATAACTGGAAATGTCCTCAACTGCTGCCTTATACTGAACTCCCCTTCAATGAAAAAAATGCTGCAACTGTTTTTGGCATTTATTTAATCATACTTTAAGACAATTTTTTTCATGTTTGGAGGGTAGGACATAAAACAATTATGTGTTTTTCAGTCTTCTTTTAATGTCAAACACAGTCCACCAAAAAAACTGGAAGGTTTTGTAGATTGATTAATTTCCGTAATTATATTGTTAATATAATCCATAGAGGTCGTCATAGTTCTTACCATTTGTCATCCCACATCCACTCAATTGACCGGAATTTGAACTTGACCAGTTCCCAAATGGGTGTCACACACAGCCTAGTTGTTTCCTTCCAACTAATTCCTCCACTTCTTCTTACCAGCAATGTTTTCTATCACCATTGGTTCAGACCTGCAAACACTGAAAGCTGTGTTTCACCCTTCATCTCCACCTCATCTGCCATGCTTCATTCTTCTCGTACATGTTAATGGTGGCTCTCTGTTCTGTGATGGTATCTGGATAATCTGAGCCCTCTAACCAATAAAAAACCTTCACCTAGTTAAATGATGCACTGTGAAAGTGGTGCAATGACCTCAGAGATGTTCAAAGATAACAGGTTAACTCCATTGGTCCAGCTTGTTATAAAAGTTATCAGTCATTTTATTCTCTGCCACTACAGCAAAAATAGCTTTTTATGAGGATTAGCGACAGTTAAACTATTTTCTCAGTTGGAGAAAAAAAACTCTCGTCCTTCTCCTTCTCTAGGCATTAAGCTCTTTAGCATTTCTTTGCAAAAAATATTGAACACAAAACACCAATTTAGACTTCATTAGTTTTACGATTTCCATCCGATTTTTCACTAAATCAAACAATACTAGTTGCTGGTTTCATAGTTTCTGTTTTAAATGATTTACATTTCAAGTGTGTATGATGCTGTCCTTATCATAAACATGATTCAAGATTTTATAGCCAATCCAAGGTAAATTTGTGTTTTTTATGAAAAAGATTTAAAAACAGCAATATGACATAAGTGCTAAACATAAACCTGAAGAGGACAGTCTAATAAAGTCTCAGTGATGTTACACAACAGGGTCATAAAACAATAAAATTTGGTTATCCTTTAATGAGGTAAACACAAAACTAATAAATAGGTCTTTAGAATAGATTTAGAAATGACCAAAGAAAAATGTTCCTGTCTAACAGCAAACTGCTGCTTAACTGTGACATCATAGAAAACCCTCAGACATTTTCATACGACATTGGCCGTGCAGCAAATAATGGTCAGCTGATCTGTGCAACCAGGACAGAGAATGCATTTTCTATAGCTTAGAGAGGCAGTGAAGTGTAGGGCCATTAAAAGATTAAAAAGATAATAAAGAAAAAATAAAATGAGCTCTAAAGTAGAAAGACCAGAGGAGTAAGGATGAGACAAGAGTAATCTGCTGTCCCCGATTGATAGCCTTGCAGCAGCAGTTTGACAAATAAACCTCAGGAAAATATGTACTAGTTTTTGATTGAGTTCATTTCTATATTTAGCTTTATATAACTGTCAATTTGAAAACCAAACTTGAGTTAGATGATTTCTTGTACTGTGCCAGAGAGCCCATAACCCTTAGAAGAGACTTATGATGGGGCCAGAGACCAAAAAAAATATTTATCCTAATATAAAAAGTCAAGAGCCATCCAAGACAGTCATTTAGCATCTGCATCAAGTGGTTATCCATTCATGTCAGGGGCAAATAAACCTGAGCAAAGATAATGATTACAATTTATTGGGCTGTTTCACATATATTACGGGTTGTAGTAACAAGGTTGTTACTGTTTAAAGGGTTACCCATTTATGGTTTAAAATCCACAAATAATCCTGTCATTTCATACGCTTTTGCTTTTATAGAGAAACCAGACAAATGTTGAGTTAGTCTGTTCTTCACCAAATTTATTTGTTGTGATTCTACTTTAGAATGCTAAGCCAATGTTCATTAAATAGTGTGATAATTAGGTATGTCTCACCTTTTTATTGATTGATATTGACCTAAAACTTTATATCCATCATCCATATATATATCTCCATTTATATATATATATATATATATA